CTTTCTTGAAGATTCCATGCTTTTATCTTATTGACATTGGGGTGAAGTTAAACTTGTATTAAGTGTTAAGTCTTAGAAGGATAAATTGGACATGTAGTTGTTGTTAAGTACTGTCGAGTCAGTTCCACCTCATTGCGACCCTGTATAGGATTTCCCAGGAGTAGCTAATGGGTTGAACCACCAACCTTGTGTTTAGCAGTCCATTGCTTATCCTACTGTACCATAAAAGGATGCCAATTTTGATATAAATGTAGAGAATTCATAGAATAAAATAAAATGGAGTGTGAAGGGGAGTTAGGGGGGGATATCTTCAGAATTCAAAAGATAAAAGCAGATCTGTAGCAGGTTGAGAGAGGAAGTTCAGCTACACAGCAAAGATGGGGTCAAGTGGTTGGAGACAAAAGTAAGTAGTACCTGGATGACTGCCTGAAGGTAATGCCGTTCTTTAACTGAGAATGAGGCATGAGTGGCAGGCTTGGAGGGAATGTGATGAGTGTAGTCAAACTCCTGGGAGAACAATACCAGTTTATTACAAGCACACTCCAACCAAGTCATAGTTCTAAACATGAGTATGTGAGGTATTCAAACTCAAACCATCAAAAAGTAGTTCCATTTATAACAATAATGCTTATTTTTAAATATTCACATGTACTTTTATCTGTCAAATTTGATTTCAATACATCATTCCAATATTTCTCCCAGTTAGATCATGATCTTCCATGATCCACTATTATGTTTTCTTTGTCGATTTAAGTCCCAACTCTTGGTCAAAGAAAATCTACACCTTAACTAATCTCATTACTTCTGTTTAAAGGACCATGTCATAAAATCACACCTCTCTCAATTTACCTGTAATTTCATCCTTCCATCTGTGAAGTTCTCAGCTTCATGTTGAGTTTGCCAATCCTCAAAGAATCATCCAAGTCTACCTTTACAGCATTATTTCTATGAATTAATTCCTTCTTGTTTATATCCCCATGTCATTCCTTATAAGGAGCCCTGGTGGGGTACTGAGTTATATGATGGGCTGAAAACTGCAAGATCAGCAGGTCCCTGCAGGAGAAAGCTGAGGCTTTCATGCCTGTAAAGATTTACAGCCTTGGAAACTCTATTCAGGGTCACTATGAGTCAGAACTGACATGAAGGCACACAACCTGCCAGCCTCTCTTTGTATTAAATCTTTTTGTCATTATCATATACTCTTACTCAATTATAAACTTTGAGAATAAAGAAAACACACACCTCTCCACTTCTTGTACATAACAGATGGTTTCTTTTTTGTTAAGAGTTGTCCAGTCACTTCTGACTCATAGAGACCCTGTATAGGATTTCTGAGGAGTGCCTGTTGGGTTTGAACCACTGACTTTGTGGTTCAAATGGCATTGTGGTCCAGTGCTTATCTTATAGTGCCACACAAGGACTCCCATAACAGATGTTGATTAAAGTTAATTTAAAAACATACTTTCCTATATCCATGTGGTTATTGTTGAGTGCAGTCACGTGTCTTTGGATTCTCAGTGATCCCACGTGGCAGAGTAGAACGGCCCCTGCTGAGTTTTCTTCATTGTAATCTTTAGTGCAACAGAGCTCCCGGTCTTTCTCTCACAGAGCTGCTCCATAGGTTTGAACCACCAACCTTTTGGCTTAGAAGTTGAGCTCTTAACCTTGTGCCACCAGAGGCAATATCCACAATTTATAGTAAAAATAGAAATGTTTAATAGGAGAATGTTAAGTGCCTTGTCAAATCTGTTCTGACTCATTGAGATCCTATATAGAGTTTCTGAGACTGTAATCTTTGCAGGAACAGAAAGTCGCATCTTTCTCCCATGGGGCTGCTTGTATTGTCACTAGCAGTCCAGTGCTTACTTTACAGAACTGCCATGCTCCCTATAAATCAGTAATTTATATTATTCTGTTAAACTAATATTAAAAGTAGAAAAGTTCAACAGGAGAATATAAATGTATTAATTGACAGCTATTTTAGAAATTATGCTCAGTCTAAAGGAGCAGTAAGCAGTGGTTTGAAACTCCCAGTCGTTCAGCAGGAGAAAGATGAGGCTTTCTGCTCCCATAAGATTTACAGTCTCAGAAACCCTATGCGGGGTCACTGTGAATTGGAACCAACACCATGGCACATAACCACCACTCCCACCACCACCAAAGTGAATTTAAGCCCACGCATCTGATAACAAATTCAGCCCTCACGTCGGTGCTCCTCAACACGTATGTTGTTGGAAGAAAGCAGTATCAGCAATATGAGCCGAGTTTGTTAGAAATGCACATTCATTCATGGTGACATAGTGGTTTATTCACCATAGTTCCACAATTGACGTGTGCTGGAATGTAAAGCGGGCTTGAATTGCAAGGTCAGATCAGTGGTTCAAGCTCACCAGCCACTCCCTGGAAACCCTATTCACGGTCGCTATGGTTCGGAACCAACTCGATGGCACTTAACAACAATGGTACCACTGAACTAATATGAACTCAAAAAGCTGATCTATAAAACATACTTCTGTCAGAAACTGTCTAAAATTTTTTGAGGTATAAATATTTAATGTTACAAATAAGGAAATGGATTCCTAAAGGGCAGAAGTCAAATCTGACTTGTTTCCTGTTTTACTAATGTCTGTGAACTAAAAATGAATTTTGCATTTTAAATGATTAAAAAATATCAAAAGAGTAATAATACCTTGTAATATGTGAAAATTATATGAAATTTTAATTTGCATGCCCATAAAGGTTTATTGAAACATAGCTACACACATTCATTTACATACTATCTGTGAGTAATCATGATAAAGTTTCTCTGGCCAGCAGACCCTAAAATAGAGACTTTTTACTGAAAAAGGTTGCCAACCTCTAATATTCCAAGTGAAATGTATTATTGGGACTAGAATCATTCATGCTTCTGCAGTTCGCCATGGCAATAACATTCAGTGGCTTTCGTTTATTGTGATATAACTGTGCCAGAGTATGAAAGGATTCTTAGATCTATCAACATTAAAAAGTGGAATTGAAAACTAGAAAGTAAAAATAACTGGAGGAATAAGTAGTAAAATGGAGCAAGTGACATGAAAGCTCCGAAAATCAGAAAATGCTACTAGATGTCCCAACCCACTTTATATATTAAAAAAAAAAAAAAATCAATATTTATTGTTCTTTTTCTCATCATAAAAGCAATATACATTTATGGTATTTCAAAACACAAAAATGTATACAGTATATAAATCATTCATATTCCCAGTATTAGAGAAAACCACATTTAAACACTTTGTTTTGTCTTACAAAATTGGGACGTTGCTGTACACAAATGATTAGGTATATATTGTTAATGTACCAGTTTACCAGTGTCCTCTCATAGTCTCTGAGATCCTTGTGTTTAATGGCTACTATCCCATTAAGGAGCTCTGGTAGCATAGTGGTTACGAATCAGGCTGTGAACCACAAGGTCAGCAGTTCGAAACTACCAGCTGTTCTGCTGGAGAAAGATGAGGCTTTCTGCTCCTGTAAAGTTTTACAGCCTCAGAAACCCTGTTCAGGGTCGCTATGGGTTGGAACCGACTTGATGGCACTTAACAACAACAAAGATTTACAGCCTCGGAAACCCTGTACAGGGTCACTATTAGTCAGAACCGACTCCACGGCACATAACAACAATAACATCCCATTACTGGGTATGCCATTACCTCATTACTGGATATTTATTTGGTTCTTGTTATATGTAAATAATGCCATAATAAACAAATTTATTTAATTTTTTTTTTTGGCAAATCTGTTTTCTGCTATAAAACAATTACTACAATAAAATAACTTTTCTGACTGTGGACTGCTTCCAAAGGCAATGGAAGCTCAGAGACAAATGAAAAGAAAGTAACATTAATTGGGTCAGTCTCTCTCTCTTGGGTTTTCCACATTTCCAAAATATACCCAGTTTAGAGATTTCTACCTTAAGTAACATTAAATAAGTTATCTTATCTTTGATCAATCATGATTCCAAAAAAAAACAGCCTGTTCTTAGATCAATACCATTAGTCAGGAAAACAATTTTGTTTTAAATTCCCCCTTCCCTTAGAAAAAAAGGCAATGATCTTATCAAAAATATTTTATTTACAAATGAATCAATTATACTATACATCCTATGCTGGAAATACATTGAATAATTGCTAAAATAAATACAGGCAATTAATTCAACCTTTTATAAGAATGAGATAATTTGACATTTGAATGTTATCAAAGCTTAACTTAGAACATAAATAGTTAAAAAGGCAAACTCAAGTTTTAGTCTCATTTATTGGCATGGTGTGTTTGTATCCCACAAGCCCTCCAATCAGTGAGAGGCTGACTTTCACGTTATGTACATTTTTGTAGTTACTCCAAAGGTAGAGTGTGCAGCTTTTTCTTAGGCAAGATTGTTGTGTAACATGGATATAGCTGTACAGAAAGGAAGCAGGAAGGCTAGGAACACATTGTTGTACACACCTTTTCCTCTCTGCTTCCACATATACTTTTTATGCAGTTATTCATGTCCTCTAATTGTGTTTTTTGTTGTTGTTTGTTGTTGTTTTGTTTTTAGCAGGGCCTATAGAACACCAGCTACAAGGCAGGATTGATGTGTCAAAAGTCCAGGTGGGTAATTGGAACCCTGCAATGACTAAATCAATCAAGTTCAGAGTGTTTGGCTTATGGATTGTTTATTATGCGCTAATTCTTAACAGAGTTACTAAACCTTGATATTATTTCTACTATGTAAACATATTTACGTAGGCCAAGAACAGGAGAGATGAAGCAATTATCTGTTTAATTCAGGAGAAATCCTCCCTTGAAAATAAATTCAACATATTCATTTTCTAGTTATTATGAATTATCCAACTTCTTCATGTAAACCTCGTATCTAACATGTAAACTGTACTGGCAAGTTGAAAAAAGACAGGTAAAATATGTTCAGTATCTGGACAGCATTTGGAGAATTCAGACCACAAAACAAAGCCTGTGATAGAAAGGCTTTGTTTGCCCAAATTATAGAGATAATGTTTTTCTCTCCTACTTCCCATTTTACTTGGCCTGGGCTAACACTGCCAGAATGTCTAAAGATTACTTATCATTTGTGTTCATGTTTTAGTCCAGTGCTGGATTCTTGGTGTTTGTTTTCAAGAATTAGCATTCCTTTTATATTGTGAAAAAATTGCACTTTTCTACCCTTTTGGCCTTGATTTTCCATTTTTTTTTCTTTTTGTACACACATAAGAATGTACTTCTACTCCTAAAGTGTAACAGCTATACTGGCCTTTTCTAAAAAAAAAAAAATTAAAAAGAGTTAAAGTATTCAAAGTTTAAATACTTTTCACAGAAATAAACTATTCAATTTTACAAGGTAGAGAGAGAGAGAAACATTTTATTCTTTCTATCATGAACAACATGATTCAACCAAGCTTCACATTTTGGGCAGGACTTTTTTTAAGTATGAATTTTTTCAAAACCTATTTTATTAAAAAAAAAAAGAGGAAGAACAAGATCGTTTTGGCAGAAAAGTAAAATATAGAAGATGCAAAATTTGTTTTAAAAATTGGCATACAAAACTTTTAAGACACAGCACAATTATATAAAAATACAGCACAGGCAACAGCCATAAAAAAATTTCCTTTGGCATTTCATTTGGTAGAATTAGACGTAAAATCATTCCTTTAAAAAAAAATTAGCTATCAAAACAGTCCATAAGTTAGGTTGTATAGGCTGAAAGAACTTTTCCTTGAGTTTCTAAAAATCTTTTTCTTCCACGATAACCCACGTAAAGCATAGCTAGTGAGGTATATAGGGCAAACCATTGTCAGACAGCTGTACACTAACAAAAAAGTGCATAAACAAAGAAGCCATCCCATGTTCATAGGAATAAAAGGCTAAATCTGAGTTTCTTCTTGTTTGATGTATCATTTTACTTTGGCAGAATCAACATAAACCCATAGAAATGTTTGTGTTCAAGTCCCAGCAGCAGTGATATATCTCCTTTGGTGGCATTATTTGATGTCACAATACTGTACAGTTCCTAAAGGAACCAAGCTGTTATGTGTGTCTGTGTGTGTGACTGCAAATGCCAAACATTGTAAGATCATACATCAAGCACCATGTCAAAGTGTTGCCCCTTCTTCCGCCTGCCACATTTACTGATGAGAACCACATAGAGCATCAGAAGCATGACCCAATAGCATGCATAGAGTAAGGCTCCAACAATTAGAATGGTCTGTTTGGAATCTGAAAATGGCTTTTTAGATTCCTTATAAATGGTGAAAATCACCCCACCCAGGAGGATTAGAAACCAAATTGTTACTGGAATGAGTCCTATGAAATTCACCACGATGGTTTTCCTTCCAGATGTGCCCCACCCAGCTTTATTTATGGTTGCAATCGCAAACATCTTGGCAGGAAGTAAACTTGACATGTACAACACTGAGTAGAGCGACATGAAGACCATGACGATGTTTCCTCTAAGGCAGCTGGCGAACGAGGATTTTATGAGACCGACTAACTGAACAGTTAACAAGAAGAGGAGGATGTTCCAAATTTTCCCCCGGTAGAAGAGCTGGATGACTGTGGCAATGAGAAAGAAAGGAAAGAATCCAGTGATAACCGCTTCGTAAGTCATCCACAAGTGATGTTTGTGAAACCACATTGCATTGTACAGCCACTCCCGGAAATAGGACTTGCTCCAACGGGTCTGCTGATTTAACCACCTGAGATATTCTATAGGGGTTTCAGTAAGGCACTTGGATCGAGCTGTGTATTTTGTTGCATAACCCAGACTCAGCACCCGGTTCGTGAGATGTCGGTCATCACCAAAACTACATTTATTGCCCATAAATTCCTGATTGTACCAGTCTTCTACAAAGTCATTGAGCAAGGAGTTTCTGTACATTCCCAGAGGTCCACTGATGCACTGGACACACCCAAAGTAAGACTGGCAAGCTCTCTCTATGTTGAAAGCCATCCAATATCTCACACTACTGAGGAAGGAAATCCAAGAATCATACTTGTTTAAAATCTGCAAAATGAGAAACACACAAAAGAAAAACCAAAAAAATCAGTGGTCAGCTTTCCCCTCAAAATAAAAGCAAAATCGGTACCATCCTGAGATTATTATTTAGACTGAGTTTTGTTGTTTACTCTTCTCTTGGGGTTTCCTTGCTACTTTTGATGTGGTGGACTTCTGTTTTCACTAATTCTGCATTGTTAGATTCACTTGATAATTTCTTGTGTGTGTGCATTTCATAGAGACCCTTCATCACTTTTGATTCTCTTTTTTGCTCTGTGTTTCTTACTCCTTTATTCTATTATAATAATGAGGCCTTTTAAGACTTTAGTGCTCAGATTCCAAATCCTTGTCCCTAAATACTCTTTCCTAGAGGACTTTTTGTTTTTGTTTTTGTCTCCTGTTCGAAAAGGAGGTCTGGTAACAATGGGCTGCTAACCAAAAGGTTGATGGTTCGAACCCACCAGTCATTCTGCAAGAACCAGATGATACAGTATGCTTCTGCCAAGATTTAGTCTCAGAAACCCCATGTTGTTGTTGTTAAGTGCTGTCACACTGATTCTGACTCATAGCGACCCCTGTATAAGGTTTCTGAGGAGCGGCTGGAGGATGTGAACTGCCGATCTTATGGTTCGCAGTCTGGTGCTGTTCCAGTCAGTCCTATAGGCTTGCTAGGGGTAGGAATCAACTCAGTGGTTTGGGCCTGGTTTGGGGTTTTAGTCTTCTGTACTGCTTATATTCCAACTCATCCAGTTCTTAATTAGTTTCCTTTTTTCTTCTACACTTTCCTGCAATACCAGTGATCAGAGGGTTTGCTGTGGCTCCTATAGAAGGCTATTAATAATCCATCAACTTTATCTTTGCAATATTTCTTGACTTCTTCCCTCTTCCTCATTTTGTTCACTTTTTAGGTGGCTTTTTGCATGTCTTTGTTCTTTACATAGCTGGATTATTTTTCTTCCCTCTTTAGCATGTTCTATTTGACTTCACTATCACTATGCACATACACTAACAAAACACCTACAATTTCAGATTAACTTTCCCATGGACTTTTCTCCTTTAGCTAAATTGTAATTTTATGTATGCAGGGGACTCACTTCACACCTTTTAATCTATTTATTTTTGCATGCTCCAAAGTAGTCCTAGCATGGCGCTGTAGGATAAACACTTAACCAGAAAGTCAGTTTGAACTGCAAGGTCAGCAGTTCAAACTCACCAGCCGCTCCTCAGAAACCCTATACAGGGTCGCTATGAGTTGGGACTAACTCCATAGTACTTCATAACAACAACAAAGTTCAAATTACTTTAATTAATAAGAATTTTTTCTTTGTTTCTCCACTGAAAGAAAATTATGAGTCATGTTGTTGCTGTTGTTTTTAAGTGCAGTTGAGTCAGTTCTGACTCATTGTAATCTGTATAGAGTTTCTGAAGTGTAGCTGGTGAGTTTGAACTACTGTCCTTATGGTTCAAATGACCTAGCGGTCATATCAGGGATTCCAATATGGAGAGGTTTCTTTGTTTTTCTCACAAATCAGAAAACAAATTTTATCATGCTGTTTATCTTTTCTTCATTTGTTTTCTGATTTGGGCTTTTAATCAATTATATATCTGCCACTTTTTAAGTAAAAGGGGACTTCCAAGTGTTCATGGAAGAAATTAATTTTTCCAAACTCTTCAAGTCCCTGCGTACATAGGAGTAAAGGATATAGAATCCACTATAATTAAATATAAGGAGCTCTGGTAGTGCAGTGGTTATGAATTGGGCTGTGAACCTTACAGTCAGCAGTTTGAAACTACCAGCCACTCCATGGCAGGAAAGATGAGGCTTTCTGCTCCCATAAAGATTTATAGCCTCGGAAACCCTGTACAGGGTTGCTATGGGTCAGAACCGACTTGATGGCACTTAACAACAACAACATAATTAAATATATTTTTTAATTTTCAACAGAATACTAAATTATTGCTCGGAGATATGGCAGAAGTCATATTTATGTTTATAAGTTATCAGTTGCTATAGACATATATTTTATTCTAGGGGTAAGCAAGAAAGGAGTCCTAGTATGGTGCTGTAGGAAAAGCACTAGACTGCTAACCATAAGGTTGGCAGTTCAAACCCACCAGCCACACCAGTCCTCGGGAAACCTATGCATGGTCACTATGAGTGGGAACCAACTTGATGTCCCTTAACAACAACAGCAACAAGCCAGGACAGAATTTCATTTCAGTCAGAAGGAGCAGCGGTGCAGTGGATAAGGTCCATTCTAATGCATCTATAGAACCAAACACAATGATTGACTGAGACTGGGTGCGTACTGTGTATGTGCTCAATGAATCCATGAATAAGAATTCATGTTTCTTAATGTAGCTGATGTAAAAAGTGAAGACATATGCACCTGGACATCTCCTCCAACTCCTCCAACCATGGGGTCTTCTTCTAAAACTTTAACCATCTCGACAGATGAGGCAGGGTCCAACATGGTATCTGAATCACAGACCTGCAAAGAAGAAAGTAAAAAATGAATTAAAAGGAAGAACTATGAGTGTTCACTCTATTGCCCAAATTGGGCCTATATATTATACCCTCAATCATACTGTCCCGATACCTCAGTGACCAAGTGACCCAGTTCAATATTAGTGGTATTGTTGGATAGAGCAGTTGAATGACATCCTAAGTATTCCACATAGGGTGAGCAGCATGCCCTAGTTTTCCAGGGACAGTCCCAATTTTAGCATTGAAAAGACTTACATCCCGAGAAACACCCCCGTCCTCGGCAAATTGAGATGATTGGTTACTCTCAATGTCTGCCATTTTTCTTTCCATTTGCCCATTCCATTGTCTTAAATAAAGCTTTTAGGCAACTTGCCCTTCAGGTCTGATAGATAATGGGGGGATTTTATAACAATATTGAAAGTAAAGTATGTTTCACAGTTTTTTTTCTTTTCTTTTAATATGGTGAATAAAAGAAGGAAGAACAAGGTTTCTAATAATGGTTGTGTAGTCAGCAGCAAGACATCCTCATATCCTTTACTTAGCAGGTGATATTACACCTTGAAGAAAACTAGAATAACCTTCAGAACACTCTCTTATTCTAGAGTAGTAAAGAATTCCTGTAGGTAATTGGGTTGAAAAGCAGATCTAAAGTACCTTATGCCATTCTAGATGTACCAATCACTGTTCTTAGAAACATTTCTCATATGAGTTTAAAAAAAAAAAAAAAGTTTTCTGAAATCAAACCAACTTCAAAGTGGTTACTAGAATTCATCCTTTATCAGAAGCAAGGACAGCCATTCTACTGACAGGGAAGACAGGGATTTCTGGTAAACCACAAACATTTTAGAGTTTCAGGGTGGTGGGGCTAAAGAGGCAATAGGTACTTCTCAGCCTTATTTCTGAACCAGTTGAAAAATAAAACTAAGTAAGTCATTTGTGGAACCAAAGTATCACCATTCTATTGAGGAAGCTGATAAGGAGAATGTGACTTACATCTGTGAAATGGGCTTCCTAATTCTCTTCCCTTGAATAAGGAAGACTATAGAAGAACTAATGCATTTGAGTTATGGTGTTTGCAAAGAAGAGTAAAAGTACCATGGACTGCCCTGAAGAATAAACAAATCTATCTTTGAAGGAGGACAGCCAGAATGCTCCTTAGAAGTGAGGCTGGCGAGATTTCATCTTTTATATTTTGGACATGTCAGGAAGGACCAGTCCCTGGAGAAGGACATCATGTTTGTTAAAGTGGAAGGTCATTGAAAGAGAGGAAGACCCTCATCAAGATGGATTGATACAGTGGCAATAACAATGGGTTCAAACATAACAATTAGGAGGATGCAGCAGAAGTGGGTAGTGTTTTGTTCTGTTGAGTTGGGATGCTGTGAGTGGGCATCTAACAACAATAACAATTTTGTTCCCCAGTCTTAGTCTCAAAAGAGCATCAAGGAGGAACCAGCCTCCCCCTGTAGATCTTGACTTTTGCTCTTCAAACTGTATGACAGATGCCTACTCTTCGGAGACAGAGAAGCTAAGCTACCCACACTTGTACCTTCATCAGACATTGAATTATTTTCTACTAAATGCAGTGAAGCCTGAGAATCCTCCAAGCAACAGTTGAAAATTGACTGGAATTGTCAAGTTATGAACCAGTTTGACATGCCCACCTAGACAATGAGTGACATGATTGGAAGAGACTTGGGAGGTAGTTAGCTACAATTCTTCCATTTAGTTTGGCTAATCTGATATAGGAGTCCTGGTGTGGCACTGTGGAATAAAGCACTTGACCACAAGTCAGTTAGAACCACAAGGTCAGCAGTTCAAACTCACCAGATGCTCCTTGGAAACCCTATACAGACAGGGTTGCTATGAGTTGGAACTAACTCCACGGCACTTCACAACACCAACACTGATAAAAGGAGCTCTGGTGGCATAGTGGTTACATGTCAGGCTGCTAATCTCATAGTCAGCTGTTCAAAACTACCAGTAGTTCCATGGGAGAAAGATGAGACTTTCTGCTCCTGTAAAGATTTATAACTTCAGAAACTCTATTTGTTGTTGTTAAGTGGTGAGCTTGAACCACCAATTTTGTGGTTCAAACCAACTTTACAGTCTATCACATTAGCCCACAGCACCATAAATCAGGACATCCGGAAACCCTATCCTAGGTCACTATGAGTCAGAACCGACTCCACGCCACATAACCACCACCACTCTGATATAATCAAGATTTACCCTACTTATTTCTAACAAATGTTGTCTAAGCAGTTATCTAAGCCACTCTTTATGAAACACCTTATAATAATAGTTAGGATTTGACACACCACTTTTAAGTTAAAGGAAAACCATTTGTGGAATCATAATTCACAGAGTTGACAGGGGCTCTATATGTATATAGCATGAGCCTAGCACATTATTATGGCATCTGAGTGTGGAACTCTAGGATAAGCACTGGACTGATGACCATAAGCAGTTCAAACCCACCAGCTGCTCCTCGAAAACTCTATACAGGGTCACTACGCGTTGGAAGTGACTTGATGTCACTTAACAACAACATCACATTATTAGCTAAGGAAACTCAACATTTCTTAAAAAAGCATCAGTTTTTTAAACTAATAGTTACATTTTTTGTTCTTAAAAAAGTATATATTTATGAAAAAATGTTAATGAAAAGAGCAATGTAAATGCATTATTGGACTTAGGAGGATAAAAAGTATCTTAGAAAGTGAATTTCCCAATCCTTCAGATTTATCTAATTATAGAAATTGGGGGTTAATTTCTGAACATTTGATTTTATTCTGCTCATTTAGAAGCACACACACATATGTTTAATTAGCTTTTAGCATTTCTTTGTAGTCTACCATGGTCTCATTTATTTTAGAAAGAAAAAATTGATAATAGGCAAAAGCTAAGCATTTTTTTTTTCTAGTAGAAAATGTAGCTGCTGTTATGTGTCATCAAGCCAACTTTGACTCATAGTGACCCTAAGTGACACACTAGAGCCACTGAATGGGTTCAAACTACAAACCTTTTTTTTTGGTCAACACTTAACCATTATACCACAAAAGCTCCTTATTGGACTCCGCTAAGTCTTGGGCATGTACACAAGTGTCCCAAGCCAGAGAAACCTAGAAAATTCTTCCAGAAGGGATGCTCTGCTTTTCCCATGGTGGGTCTATCGCCGGTTTGTATATGGCTACAAGCTGGGTAGGACTCTGTAATGAGGGCACAGAAGGGTGAAGTCACAAATCCAAACCACCTTCAGAGTTAATGGCCACACCCACCTCTCTTGACTTAAGTTGGGAAAGGTATAACCAAAAACCTAAAATAAGACTAAAGACAACAGGAAGGGAGCAATCTGGAATTAATGTTTAAATAACTCTGCTGTCTGCAAGCACAGCAAGCCAGGGGAACTGCCTCTTTGAAATGACTAAACCTGAACCACACATCTGAGGTCCTGAGCATTTAAGTTTGTGCCTGCTCCTCCCAGTTTCCAATAGCAAAGTGCCAGAAGTTCTCTGAGAGAGACTGTTCTCAAGGTGGCTTTAGCAGTGGCAGAAGGGAAAGCTTGTGGAAATGCATTTGTTATCATGGGACTTGGGATCTTGAAAGATACAATTTCTGGAAACTGTTAGGTGATAAAGCCATTGTCTATCATAGTCTGTAAAAGCATGTGTTTGGGACATAAGATCTCACCTGCCACTGAGGGGATTTTGATTCATGTGGTTGTTGTTGTTACGTGCTGAGTTGGTTCTGACTCGTAGTAACCCTGAATAGGGTTTTCGAGAAGTAGCTGGTGGGTTTGAACTGCCAACCTTGTGGTTCTCAGTCCAGTGCTGATCCCACAGCACCACAACATAGGACAGAGTAGAACTGCTGCCTAGGGTTTCTGAGACATGAACACTATAGCATTTACTTATTAGAGTATATAGAGCGTAACGCCATCCTTTCTTATTATCAGTTGTTAAGTGCCGCTGAGTCGATTCCAACCCATAGTGACCCTGTATAGGGTTTCCAAGGAGCAGCTGGTGAGCTTGAACCACTGACCTTGCAGTTCAAATGACTTTGTAGTCTGACACATTAGCCCACAGCGCCACACCAGGACTCCTTAATATCAGTAGACTCAGGGTTTTTAATTAACAGCAAGTGTGGTGCAACGGGTTAATGCGCTGGACTGCAATGTTGGTTTGAACCACAAGGTGAGCTGTTCAAGCTCACTAGCTGGAAATCCTATACAGGATTTCTGACTCTGTAAGTCAGAACCCACTCGATGGCACTTACGAACAACAATATAATTTCATGAACGTTGGCTTTTTTGGCTCTGGGCTAGAATCTTTGGGAGACATAGCACCAGTTCTACTGAGTTTACCCTCCCCTAGGGGAAAACTAGAGCATGATTTGCTCACAGGAAATAATTAGAGAACCAATCAAAACGACTTTCGGGCTACTCTGAGTGTCTTCTTTGTAACTAGTTTAAACCACAGGCTCATCAGCCCTAGGATTTCTCACTTGGAGATGTGGAAATGAAAACAAAGTTGCCAAGTTTTGAATAAATAATAAGTGAAAGACTTTATATAAGGAATCATCTATCTTAGTGTGAACCACAGCTTCAGCAGCTAAAGTGTATCAGAAGACCACATTCCGCATTCATGATTCTACTCAGGAATTCGACTAGAGGGCAGGACAGGGTGAGGGGTGTGCACTGCTAAGGCAGGGTCAGCAAAGGACAGTCTGCAAGCAAGTCCAGCCTGCCACCTGTGTGTAGATAGACCATGAATATTTTTATACATTTCTAAATGGCTGAAAATCATCAAAAAATAATGCTGTGCTACATGTGAATGTTACATAACATTCAAAGTTTAGAGTCCTTAAATAAAGTTTTGTTGAAACCCATCTACACTTTCATCTATATGTTGTCTCTGGCTGCTTTCATGCTCCAACAGTGGAGTGGAGTAGTTCTTATAAGGCCCACAAACCCTAATGTTTTGTAAATAGGAACCATCTGTT